TTAAATGCAAAAATATGAAACTGTTGTTTATTATGCAGTATTTGTTTTTTCTTTTCTTTTCTTTTTTCTTTTCTTTATCCATACATGCTGTTCGCTTGTAAATATCCTCAACTGCAACTCCTAACCACACAATTAATTTTTTAAATATTGCAATTAAGTCTTGTAAACGTTCCCCTTTGCTATAAATGTTCACAGTAAAGCCATGCAACACTGTTAAGTCTGAAATGTAAAAAAAAAAAAAAAAAAACTGCTCCAGAACTCAGGAAAAACCATGGATAATTTAATTGACAGTGTACTTTGAGCTATTTTTTCTTTTTCCGATTTTTTTTTTTTTTTTTACAGGTATACAGAAGCATGTATACGTCTGTGCAGATGAAGATACCAACAGCCACCTGGAAGAACACAACTGTGAGACACCTCTGCCACCTGCACCACTCCATACAACCTGTCAGCTTTCATCCTGCCCCCCAAGGTTAGGTTCACACTCATCTCTGTTTCATTCCTTTTGGACTGACATACACTTACAGTGCACAACAATTGACTGACTGAATTGAATAATTGAGTTTTACAGGTGGGATACAGGGACATTTGGGCCCTGTAGTGCCTCCTGTGGCGGAGGAGAGAGGGTGCGTCCTGTAAGATGTGTTCAGAAACATGGAGCTGATGAGGTGAATGTTCCAGATTCTGAATGCCCACCTGATACAGCTCCAAACGCTGTTGAAAAATGTAACCTGCAACACTGTCCAGCCAGGTATAAAGTCTACACTCTGCTGTTGATCATTAAGTGTATTTATTAAATGCCAAGTGCATCGATCAAATACCTTCCTTTGACTGCAGAATATGAATGGTTTCAGGTGTTATCCTGCTGCCTCAGTTTGAACAATATTAGCATTTGTGAAATAAATAGAGTTTTCATGTGAAAACCCACTTCTGTGTGTTCACAGATGGCATGTATCGGAGCCAGGGGAATGCTCGGCAGTGTGCGGGCCAGGAGAAGCGAAACGTGTCGTGTCATGTGTTCGGCCAGAAGCTGGTCAGGATGTTGAGGTGGATCAAAGTTTTTGTTCAAAGCAGATCAAACCACCTGACTCTGTACCCTGCGTGGTAGACGTCTGTCCCATTGGGTGGGAATCTAAGGGAGAGGTAAAGGTGAAAATGACTAAAATTTTATTTACTTATTTTAAAAATGTGAAGCGTGTCTAAACATTGCTTTTCTTCACCAGGACCAGCCCGTGCTAAAGTCTGGTTTGCTGCCACGCTCTAGACAAGATCCTGTATACGTGTGGAGCCCTGTTATCAGCCAGTGCTCAAAGACATGTGGCAATGGTAAGTGAAACATTTTTTTTATTCTCTACTTTACTTAGAAACAGCAGGTCCTCATCAGATACAGTCAACCAAAGCCTGATGCTTATGTAGGAACCCTGCAGGTGTGGTTTTCCTGTGTGGACCACCAGACCAGACTGGGGGTGCCAGACTTCCACTGTGATGCTTCTACTAAACCTTCTCCTCATTCCGAGATCTGCAGCACATCTCCCTGCCTTCCCATGTGAGATACCACAGTCTCATATTTGCCTGTAGCATGTACTATACTATCCAACAGATGACAGTAAGCAGTGAGATATTTTTAACAACCAGGTGGCGCTCTAAGCAAGGAGTCTGCAGCGTAACGTGTGGAGGAGGGGTGGCCAACAGGGTGCTGTACTGTGCTCGAGAAACAGAAGGGGAGGAGGAGGTTGTGGAGGATTCAGAGTGCAGTGACTCTCTCAAACCCACAGCAGTGGTTTCATGTAGCACCCACAGCTGCCCAGCAAGGTAAATCACACACAAACACACACACACACGTCAGAAATCAATTTCTGCAAAGGCAAAAATTACCTTACCAGCACTGTCACTTGTGCAGGTGGAAGGTGTTCAGCACGTCACCCTGCTCTGTGTCCTGTGACTTGGGTGTCGCTCAGAGGATTGTGTCTTGTGTCCAATTTGTCCACGGCAAGGAGAGTGTGGTGCCAGAGGAAAACTGCCATGCAGCTGTCAAACCAGCCACCACAGTGCCCTGCCTGGTGCAAGTCTGCACCTTCAGGTGGGAGGTGAAGCCATGGAGCCAGGTACATTTCACAGGAGAAAGAATGCATTAGAATGTGAAGATAAGATATTGATGAATATATATTGATTATCTGTTAATCATTTAAAAAACTTGTTAATCATTCTCTGGTTTCAGCTTCTCAAATATGAGGACCTACTGCTTTTAAAATCACTGTTAATTGAATATCTTTGGGTTTCATTTTATATTCCAAACAATTCATCATTTCCTAAAGAAAATTAACAACAAATTAATCAACATTTGGTTGCAGCCATAGATAAAGACAAAGAATTAACAACAGCACATAAAGTATTCATGCAGATGGGTAAGAAAAAAATTGAAAGAATATTTTTTCCCATGGTAGTTGAGGTATCAGTCTTATCATTTTTCCTATTATTCAATTTCTTCATGTGTGTTAAATAGATACCAGTCATGCTGATGTTTTAGCTGATTATCTTCAAATTATATTATTTTCATCATATTGTAAACTGTGCTACTGTGGATTATTTTTTTTACATTTTCACAAATCCATTGGATTCAGTTTTTTTTCCATACAATACAAAAATAATTTATCGGACTCTTCAGGTCTGGAGGTTGGTGAGGTTATGCAGGGCCGACTTTTCAAACTAGTCTAGACTTAAACTGCATTATCATACAATAATAATGTAACACTGACAGAAAGTAATGCAGAACCAGAGAAAGCTTCAGAGCTAAAACACAGATACGCTGTTGTGGTCCTTTCAGAACGGTTTGTAAACAACTACAAGGAGGACTCTGAACTCGTAGACATACACCCCTGTGCTATGGTAGTTTTCCACCTGTCCACAATCTACCTGAACTCTGTTTATTGTGTGATATGTAATATTGATGGCTGTTTGTGCATGATGTTGCAAACACTGAGACCTGAGCTTACCTACTGTGTTGTGTTCTTCTCCAGTGTTCAGCGCCCTGTGGATATGGGATCCAGTCCAGGGCTGTGTCCTGTCTGGGCCCCTCTAAGCCTGTGCCCCTCAGCCCTCTGCTTTGCATGCACATGCCCAAACCCATTACCATCCAGGGCTGCTACGTGGACAGCTGTGGAGATGTGGTGCCCACATCAGATGTGGCCTCTGACACCACCGCTGCAATGCAGACTGTCGAGACGGTTAACCTCACAGAGGGACCTCTCCTGTCTCCCACTCTCAGCCACAAAGATACAACACTGCACCGCATGGGCCATCTTCCTCCAAGTCCAACAGAGGCCATCACCCTCCCACAGACCACCACGACAAGCACCCCAACCCCTAAAGGTATAAACACTTTGACTCCCTACCTATTCTCAGTAAGAGCTGAAGGCAGATGCAGGATTAACATAACAGTGTGTGCTCTTTTCCAGGCGCATGTGGACAGCTATTCCTGGAGGAATCAGGCACAGTGGATTTGAAGGATGTACCCAACCGCTGCACAGTGTCCATAGGTCGACCCCTAGATGAGGTCATTCACATCAAAGTGGAATCCAGCTCCTTGAATTGCAGAAAAAGTATGTTTTTAAACAAACCTAGAGAATGTTACTTCCCAGGCCATAGCTATTGCACCAAAATAAATGTCTGTGACTCTATGCATGTGTTCTTGCAGAGGAGTATGTGGCATTTTTTGACCGACTGGCATTTGTGAGGAAGTGTGCGCAGGTAGCAAGTAGTGAACTGATCACTAGGACTAATGTCCTGCTGGTTCGTCAAAATCTGCTCACTCCTGGGAATGGGATTGTGTTCACCTACAAGTCACAGAAAAACACAAAGAGGAGCCACTATCAGGGTAAGACTGTGTATCGTGTCATTGGGTGCAGAGCTGGGCACAAGAGTTGTACTTTTTTAAGGCACAAAAGATATTTTGTATGTTGTTTCAAAAGATATTTATATCCACAGATATAAAAAGGGTGATAATTAATGAAAGCTTCAGTTGCTTTTCAAAATGGATGCATCTATAAGTAAACTGAGTCCCATGTTGGAGCCTCATGCAACATAAAGGTTCAAAACGGAAACTATAGAGATGTATACAATCGTGTTAACACTTGCACAGTCGAATGCTATCCAATACAGAAGCTCTGCAGTGTGAAGCTTTAAATGCTACAAACTATAGCATAAAAATATCAAGGAAATGAATCAGCAGCTAACACAATTTCAACATATGTTCAACATTTGGACCTTCACAATTGAAATACTCATTGCATTGGACTGTATTTGACTGTTGAGGCGTTCATGTGTTTTGTTTCCCCCATGTGTTTACTGAAGATTAAATACACCTTGTCTTTGCCCCACAGATTGCGACATTCAGCTGTTTTCCCCCAGCAGCGACTTTGAGAACCCAACAACGTCCAGCACTAACCACACCTGTCGAGTGCTCATCAATGCACCTCCCTCTGTGAAGATCAGAATCCAAGCGCTACACATAGGATTAGTATTCAACGCCACCAACTCCCAGTCGACGTACATTATGGTGCGGACAGGCTTTTTAACTCGTGCTGTTGTTGCAATACGGTGCATGCTTGAGAGGAAAGATGTGCAAATGTAATAACTCCAGCAATATCTTTTCTTGTGTTTCTTGTTCAGATCCGGGACATGGATGTCTTAAAGACCAATGTATTTAAAGGCCAACAGCTCTTTCAGTGGCACTCCTCTGGAAATATGGCTGAGATTGAATTTCATGGAGACTACCTGCATTCCAAAGGAAGCTTCAGAGCTGAATATTCCTTTATGAGGCTTTGATACTAAATATGAACTATCTTGAGGAGGTTTCCATTTATATGTTTAACAATTTCTTAACGTTTTTGTAACAGCCATTAAATTCAGTTCTGTTAAGTAGAAACACTGATGCTTTTAAACTTGATTTTCATACTTCCGTGCTAATTATTTTGACCTGAAATAAATAATAAACAAACCAAAGCACTCAAAATCTTTAAGTCAAGTGATAACAGTGTCATATTGAAGACTGCACCAGGAACTGGTTAAGTATAAACAAGGAAAGAAAAATGTATACTATTACAATTAGCAAATTATGTTAATTTAAAGTTTATATATATATATATATATATATATAACACAATATATTAAAATATAGAATTTCCATCATAGAGAATTGCTTATCATCTCAAAGGCAGTGTATTAACCATCACACATTCCACTTCCCACAATCCTGTGATAACAGGTTTCCACTCAGCTCCAAAACACTCAGTACATTGTGTGTCTATGCCAGCGTGGCACTCTGCCACCGACTCCAGCACTGGTTCAGTTGCGGCTCCCATACGGCCCAGTGGGACATAAACGCTATGCCAGGCTCCTGTGTGGGATCACTGCTCGGCGGTAGCTGTGTCTTCCAGGAGAGCTCTCATGTCCAACAGAGCATCCTCTACAGCCTGGGCAAACTTGGCAGCGTTCGTCTCTTCACAGCTGTTGAAGGCCGTGATGGCGATGTTGATGTGCTCATCCATGGGATTGTAACACACTCCATAGCCATCTGGCACCATTGGACCAAAGCACATCACACAGTCTGTCTTGGAGCCAACCTTGGACATGGAGACGAATAGAGATGAGGGCAAATACTCAAACAAACAAATACGACAACAAATAATTATGTGCTCAGTAACTGCTGATTTTCTTAGATGCCATCATACCTGGCTGGTGGAGAGATTATAATGCTGAGCCACAGCAAAAGAGGTATCCATGAATATCTCAGGCATGGAGGTCAGGTCTTCAATACCCTGCATCTTCAGCCCGAGGAGATGTCTGTCTATGGCTTGTCCATGAATTGCCTAAAAAAGAAATGTTGAATGTGTAGAGCTGATTTTAATGAGATGGTTTCAGGAAAAAAACACTTTGACTTTTATATTGATGAATTCCAGATCTCACGTTGTACGTGTTGTCCTTATGTGTCTGCACAGCCCTCTGCAGCAGCGCAAGCCTCTCTGTGTTCTGTTGACAGTATTTACTGTTCAGTCAGACAGCTTATGTGCCTTAAATTGTACATTTATTGTGAAATTTTAGTTGTCCAGCGGTACCTGTTTAGCTGGGTCTTGCATTGCCTGGACGAATTTAAAGGAGTCTACAGTCGTTGCATTGATTGCATCTGTTCGCCCATATTTAAACATTCGTAATGATGCACTTTCATATGTAGAGCAGCAAATACTATACATCCTGGAAATCAAAAAACAACAGAGGATATATGATATAGCACACTTAATGTCTAGGATCTTTTTTTTTTCAAATTTTTTCAAGTTAAAGGAAGGTTAAAAGGAATTTTGTTATATAGAAGGTAGTAGGACACCCCCCTTGTTTTTTCTTTTTTTTTCTATTGCTATTTACTTATTTACTTATTACATATGTATCAAGTAGTAGTTTCGGGCACCTAAGTGAGCAAAATCTTTTCCTCTTAATATACTGTATATTACTTATTCATTTATTTTTTACTTATTTATTTATTTCTACTTTTTGTGTGTATTAAAGGTTTAAATAAAAGACAAAAGGATAATTACTTGAGTAAATACCAAAAATATGTAGAAAAGATATATATGAGAGGAAATTAGTTAAACGTGGGGAGGGGTTGAAGCTCACTGGATACTCATCAGCCATGTGCTGCAAATGCCTTTGAGTTACTTTAAAGAAAGCGTACCAAATTTTTTAAAACCTCAGGATCCATGTGATTTGTCATACATAGAAAACAAGAAGCTACTGATGGGAGGTAGTAGCACTAATGGAGGTCAGGGTAAGGATTTTTTGTTTTTTATAATTTATTTTGTTTGTTTATTTTTTCTTCCCTCTTCTTCTCCTTTCTTGGTTGTTTGTGCTGGTCTCCACAAAGGGAAGTTATAGGACTTGGTTCAAAGTAACCTCACTTAATGTAGAGGGGGGGGTGATATAATATTTCTCCAAGAGACCCATTTATCAAAAGAAAAACACATAAAACTAGAAGAACTTGCTGATGCTCAAGATTTTTCCTCATCTTATTGCTCTGAAAAACATCCTGAAAAAACATCCTGTTCCATGTTAGAAAGATTCTTACAGATAAGGATGTGGGATATATTTTAGTTAAGGGTAAAACAGAAGACATAGAAATAACATTGTTAAACATATATAATCCACCAGAGCAGAGAGCAGAATTAATGACCAAAATTATAACACCGATTACTTCAGAGCCAAAGGGGACAATAATAATTGTTGGAGATTTAAATTTGATCATTGATCCAAAATTAGACATGTCAATAAAACATAGATGTTTGGAGAAAAAGAGAAACAGACATGTTTGGAGAACCCTACATCCCAATGAGACACTACACATACTACTCAAAGGCCCATAACAAATATTCTGGACTATATTATTTTTTTATGTATATCTGAGAAAAAGTAAAACAAATTTACTAACTACTTTACTAAACTAGTTGTACTAAAAAGTAAATGCTATATTGGCAAAATAGATATTGGATCAAGCTGTAATATCTATGGAGCTATTATTGGCAATAGAAAAAGGTGCATCATGTTGGAAACTAAACAACTCTCTTTTAAATGACACTGAATTTAATAATAACAGTAATAAAACAATACATCGAGATTAATGACAGTGGAGAAATCTCCCCTTTAATGGCTATTATTATAACTTTTCCTCTTATAATAATAAGGGGGGGGGGTATATAGTGCAGCTATTTTAATGATATTTCCTTTTGTTCTTTTTTGAGAAATTTTTAAAGACCATTAAAAAAAATTCTTACCTGAAGTAGGCAAGTTGAAGAGCCATTTGCACAAAAGCATCTGGACTCAGCTTATGTTGCTTTGGCACATTTTTTCCAAAATGAGAAAACATCAGCACTTTCACATCTAAGTCATGCACCATTCTAGTAAAAGAAAGAAAATAGTAAGTTACACAGCATCAAAGCTGAGACAATAATAATAATAACAATCATGACTGCACTTCACATACATGTTCATATTTTGTTTGGCTTTCTCAATGTCTCTCTTGACCTCAGGTGTAATGTTAAAACGCAGTTTCTGAGGCGCCGCCAAGGGAACCATCGGGGAACGGACTATTTCAGTTTTCTGCCTGTTGAGAAAATGTGAAACAGTGAGTATATCTGGATTCATTTGAAAATGGACAAAACACTGATCTAACAACTGAATGGAACTTACATGTATTTAACAACGTAGTCAATGAGAAACACGATGGGTGGACCCTCAGCAGGTGCATGCTCATACACCAGTCCACATGTACCGTCTTCACCGACGATGAACTGAGGATGAAGTGCATTCAAATTCTCAACCAGTGTCAATAGTCATGTTTATTATCTTACATGTAAAGTCATTTGTCTCAAACTGACCTGTAATGTCTTATCGAACCAGCGGTTGCCGCTGTTCCAGCGAGCTCCTCCTCCATGTAGCATCTGGGCAGCCACGCGGCTCTGGTACAGCTCATCTGACACACGAGGCATCGGGGCATCCAAACAAACCGTAAAAATGCTTTTCTGGATGGCACGGACTGATTCCTTATTCGTCTTATCTGAGGATGAATAAAATGGCCTTAAAGATCTAAAACATATTTTATGTCAAATACGCTTTATAATTCGAAAATCTTTCAAAATGATAAGTTTTCATCCCTCCCATCCTCACCCTTGATGAGGTTGTTGTAGGCTTTTCCCCAGGTGTTGCGGTGCTGTGATGTAAGGATGCCAATCGGCTCCTTGTTAGTCTGCAAAGAGGAGTTCCAGATCTTCTCCAACTGCATGTAAATCTGGTCGACTGTCAGCGGGGTGCCATCGCTGTTATACACATCCAAGACAAAGAACTGGGGGGCAAAGCCACAGAGCCAGTATTTCTTTAGCCACTGCACTAATGATAATGACATTTCAAAATTAGCTTATGTTGAAACATCTTGGTGAAATGTTGAGGATACAAGAAGGAGAAGAACAGCGGTACCATCTAGAGTACCTGGAAGTTGTGGACCACAGTGATGTGAGTGGGAGGCGTTTTTCCGATGGTATGGTTTACAACAGTGTCTCTCTTTGGACCAGGGATACGACAGGAGGACAAGATCTGGTAATACTGATCCATACACAGCGGCTTCCCACTTAGGTACTCTACAGGCAGGGTCTTACTGTGACACAGCACCTCAAATTATCCATTTGCAGATTTGTAAACCAACTGCATGTAATGATGACAATGAGATTTCTGTTACAACAGTATGATATTTGTATTAATTTCAGGCACACTCACGTGTCAATCATATTTTTGAAGTCCAACACTCCTGCAATCAGTTTGGCAGCAAATCTGCAGAGGAGATATAATTGTTATTGTCAACTCTATGATGTGCTCTTGTTTATTTACATACACATCCACCAGCTACTAACACAGCATTCAATTATTGGTTATCAACTCTGAATGGAGACATAAACAAGTAAATGTCAATCTAATTGTGTAACTAGATGACAAGTGATGAGCCTATTGTACCATGCATACCTAAAACTCTAGCAGTGGCTTCACTTGTGTATTTCTCTATGGGGCCACCATGTTCACTTCATATCCCATGGGTCACAGTAGTCAAAAACAGCTGAGCAATGCTATGGACAGCCAGAGCTCTTTAAATAGCCGGCATGTGAAGGAAAGCCTGTGCAAAGGTCGGCTTGAAATTCCAGCTTCATATGAGCTTGTTTATACTGTACTTCAACACAAAGTAAATCACTTTTAGAAACAACTTCATGAGTATGCTTATAATTAGAGACTGAAGGATTATAACTCACATTGTGGAAACTGACAGCACACATTAAAAGTACTGGCTCTTCTTTTTTGTGATTACAGAGGTGTTATTTAGTAAGAGCTTTGCAACTGTGGCTGCTCCTAGATATAGATCCTGCTTTCTCACCTCATCTGTCCTTGGCGATCATGGAAGAGCATGCGCGGTAGGACGACCCCTGGGCTGGTGTAGACCGCTAAAGGCATACGGCAGTCTAGATAGGCTGACTGCATCCACCATTCTGACAGCTACATAAACACAGCAGTAGTCAGGTAGCAGGATATAATACATTTGCATACATTACTCTATGCAAACATACAGATGTCTGAGACAATAGATCCAGATATACTTCTTTAAAAAGACTTTACATTAACTCATCATTAAACTACTTCAAACCGTAAACTAAGCATGAGTTTGCAGAGTCACACTGATACTCTCATGTCTCCCCCCACTGGCCAGCCATGAAGACCTCACTGCAAAATGAAAAATCAGTCTTACTGCATTTAATTACAAAGGACCTTAGTTCAGACTCAGCAGCACGTAGGCTTAAGCTTATTTATTCAAAACACTTTATGACACGCTGACACCCTGCTACATAAAAATGCTAAATAAAACCAAATATCTACCCAGTTGTCTGTCTTGCGTGCCCGTCGCTCCAGGCCTTTCTGCAGCCTTCCCCCCACACCACCTTTGAGAAATTCCTCCACCAGCTTTCGAGTGTGCTCCAGCTCCTCCTCGCTGACAATGGGCTCTAGAGAGGCCAGGTAGCGCTCACATGTCTGCTTCAAAGGCGGCACAGGCAGCTTAGGTAAACCCTCCTGGTGCACCAGGGACCTCTCTGGGATCTGTGTTACTGGTCTGACCAGACGACATGGTTTCGCCACGCCTGGCCGCAGCTAGAAGACATGAAACTGATAAACACAAACTCTCCTCTGCTTTTACAGATTACACTGGAAAAATATTACACAAGGAGAGTATAACAACTAATCTGATCAAATTTTGTGACTGACTACATGGCCTCACTGATGTTAAAGTGTAATTACTGACATTTAATCTTACTAATAATCTCACTAGTTGAGCAAGAAGATTAATTGGACTACAGAGGTCACTGATGCTGCTTCACAAATCCAGGTGTCAACATGTTGTTAAATATTAGGTGTGTGCAATCAAATCCTCAAATAGTAGATAACTCAGTGCACATGACTTCAAGATCTAATTTCCTATTTACAAATACATATGCTTTACAGTAAGATGATTAAGTCTGTGAAAATCAACAGCAAAACAACTGGGCAAAGAAGTCGTACTATTTGTTTGGACCCACTGGTGTGGGCTTTGCCAGCTTATAAATAGAGGGTTGACACAGTTGAACCTTTGGAATGGTAGCTAAAACAAACAGACATGAAAGCAAGAAATCTATCTGGGCTCTCATGCTCACTGCAGGTTATCAATATCAAATCTTTATCTGATATAATGATAAGATTTTAAAAGAAATTTGAAGAGAATGCCATCAAATTTATCATGAATGTTTATAAAGTGAGAAACGTGTGGAAGTACAAATGCATTTCGAAGTGTTGATATACTTAATGGGAATAATTTTCATTTGTGTCAAGTTTATAGGAGTACAATAAAGAACTTCCGGGATAGATTTTCAAAATAAAAAGATTATGACCACCTTGTTTTGCAGCGTTATCATTATGTTTCAAACAATACATGTCACAACAAAGATTATAAAAAGATAGATAGCCCTGAGGAGGACCTCTGCTGTGGATAAAACTACCGCTACAGTGCTATTTCCGATGTCCTTATAGCTGCATGCGCTTTAAGCTAACGTTATGCTATCGGCTATGCTAGGCTAACGTTATGTAAAATGTCGGAATAAGGGGCTTCTAAAACGCTCTACAATAATACCCGACATTAAAATAGAGTACCGGACATTATGGCAGCCTACTGTGGCGAAACATGATTATATTTTAACATAATATTGTCACATTGTTGTTGTCCTGTACAGCGCCCCACCCCCTTCACTCATTCTGATGCCGTAAAACTAAACGTAACGCTACAGCGTTTGTTATCACGCACTTAAAATAAATGTAAAACAAGAGACTTACCACGGCTCTGACAAAAACACCCAACATCTTGTCAGACAGACGCGCTAAGGTCTCTGACTGTCCCGGCAATATAGATGGGAAATCCTCGGGCAGTCATGTCTCAAGGACAAGCAGACTGTCTATTCTCAGCTGTCCGCCCCCCCTCGGACCCACCGAGCAAAGACAACTGCGAGCTCCCCGCTAAAAGTCCTTTTTTTCCAAGTGGAGTTTGGTTCGTACGTGACTGCAGTTTAAACTACTGCACACAAAATCTTTCTGCATTAATAGCTGCCTCATTTCATTGACGTAATAATTTTTCTAGAAGAATTAATGGATACCAGTGGTCCATAGGAACCATTAGTAAACTATTATTCGTTTGTTTTGGTTAGGGCAGAGTCACAAATGATATATTGAATTCTGTAGGAATTGTAAAACAACAGCAATTGAAAATAAATCAATAGAATAAAATACAAGGTCACTATAGACCCTATAGATGCATCGCCTATCTATTTGCGCACTTAACAAGAGTATAGTGAAATAATTTATCAGAAGCAGAAGTTGCAATTTATAAAGCCAACACATCAGTGTTTTTAAATGATGTTAGTTTTATTGATGAATAAAAGCAGTCCCTGATATAAATAATACATTTACAGAATGATACTCTGCGTTTGTCTGGTGCATGAGGCTGCACAGATCTCTACTAGCCACATGATGGAGCTCTTCAAACATCTTTCCAGAGAAACAGCGTTAACTCATTTCTTCAGGAAATACAAACCAAAGACAGACTCCAGTATACCCTACAACGAAATCACCAGAAAATAAGGTGTAAATGAAAGGTACAATTAATTTATACTGTGTGGAGAAAATTAGATTAATTGGCTTTAGAAATGTTACTGTGCAAAAGTAATCCGAAATGGATATGATTGCTCTACATAATCACATTTCATCAACATTTTTCAATAACAGAGGAGAGAGAGAATTGCAGTCGTGTCATGGTTTATTTGAAAGCAATAAAATAAAATAAAGCGATACAAAGAAAAACAATCATACAAATCAAAATGCTTCGATTGCTCTGGTCCAGCCGCTGCCTGTCAACAGTGTATGTTTTAAACAAATTGTTTGAGCGGCGAATATTTGCTCAAGGTCCGTCTGCTGCCAACTCACAAACTCAGATAGTCCACCTGAGCCCAACACTGAGATCAGGTTGGAGATGTTCGTGCTGTCCAACTGCTCCGAGTCTGAATATGAATCATCATCAGTCCTCATTCTCTTACATGGCACTGGCCCAAAGTCAGGCAAATAAAACTCTGGATCAACAATATGATAACTTGTGTCCATCTTTCGCTTTTTAGCGTAGCACTGCGCGCCCTGCGGCTGTTTTGGCTGCGCGCAACAGTCTGAGTGGAAGTATCCATTCGTGACAGTAGTCACCACATGCGTGTCCAAGTCCAGGACAGTCTTTTGGTTGGCTTGTGTGTTTGGGATAGGTAACTCCCAGGAGGATTTGTCTGCACAACTCCAACAGGCTTCCGAAACCATGAGGTCAGAGTCATTTGGTGAAACCATTGCGCAGGCAGATGCGTCTTGGTGCGCCACCTCTGCAGGCTGGCCGTTGGGCTGGTGCGCTCCGCAGTGCCAAGTGTCCGACTCAACCCCAGTAAAGTTGCAGTAGAAGTCATCGGCCAACTCCGTAAAGCTCCCTGTCAATTCGAGGTATTCTTGCCTTTCGCGGACTGTAGCTACGTCCTCATAGTGATGCGTCCTCTGCGTTTGCGACAAGTTTTTGCTCATATAAAACTGCCTGGCGTTTCTCAGTACGTACGTTACCAGTAAGTTCTTGTGGAGCTTGATGCCTCCTCTCTGCGTCCTGGAGCTTTGGATTTTCCTCAAAGAAATGGAGATCAGATTCTGTGCGTCAAATGCACACTCCATCCTCGACCGGGCCACCCTTTCTTTCCTCTCAGTCTCTCAAAACGTTTGTTTCCTAACTGGAGAAATATTTATGTCTTTAGTTGAGATTCCTACTTGATTCGTGTAGACTGTGTCCATAGCGCTCCATGTCTTCCCAGTAAGGGCATGGATTTGCAACTCTCATCTTTCCTTGCCACGCCCTCACGTAGACATTGTCCAATGGGAGGGAGGCGGTGCTTCTGTTATACGCAAATATCACTACTAGCCTCATTCAGAATGCACGTAGGAGCGGGCATGCTGCATTTCACTAAATGTGTTCTGAGCTTTTTAAATCTCAGTGCGGACAAAAATCACCAGACTTTACTGTCCATGTAGCAAAGAAAAGCAAAGAAAAGAAAAGAAAAGATAAGATAAGATAAGAAAAGAAAAGAAAAGAAAAGAAAAGAAAAGAAAAGAAACGAAAAGAAAAGAAAAGAAAAGAAACGAAAAGAATAAAGTGAAGAGAAACAGAAAGAAAGAGAGGAGTAGAAAAGAACGGAACATAGACAGTGATAACAATAGAACAGAATGAATGTAGTAGAGAGAAACAATATAATATAGCAAAGAGTAACAGAATAGAATAGATGGACAGATAGTAATAAAATAGAATAGAATAGGGTAATAGAGTACAGAGTAATACAAGTGACTTGAACAGAGTTATAGAATAGAATGAAATAGAATAGAGGGAAATAGAATAAAACAGAATATCATACAGAGTAACAAATAGAATAGAACAGAGGGTTAGAGAATAGAATGAAACAGAATGGAGACCAGTAGAATTGAACAGAATGGACTAGAGAGTAATGAAAAAGAATAGATGGTAATAAAATAGAATAGTGTAGGGTAATAGAGTACAGAGTAACACAAGAGAATATAATGAAATATAATAGAGAGAAATAGAACAGAAGAGTAACAGAACAGACTAGAATATAGCACAGAGTAATAGAAGAGAATAGAATAGAACGGAGCATTATAGAATAGAATGAAATAGAATAGAGAGCAATAGATTAGAATAGAATACCACACAGAGTAACAGAATAGAACAGAGAGTAATAGAGCAGAATGGAATATTCAGTACAGAATATAGCAGAGTAACAGCAGGATAGAATAGAACAGTGGTTTATAGAATTAAATGAAACAGAATAGAGGGTAAAAGAATAAAGCAGAATATCATACAGAATAACAGAATAGAATAGAACATAGAGTAATGTAATAGAACAGAATAGAACATCAAAACTGTTACCAAAGCTCTTTTTGTGGAAGAGGAAATTCAAGCAGCATACTAGAGCTATAAAGAACAAATTAAATATGTCAGTATACCACACTACACTTTATTAGGTACACCAATCTAAAACTAATGCAATCTAATACAACAGTCCTTTTGTATTGCATTACACAGATATGTATTGGTGTTATATACAGCTGTTATATACAGATGTTTCTGTTGATATACATAGGGGGGAAAAAATGATAGAAACACCTGTCAGAAAAGCACAATACAGCTCAACAGTCCCACAAAGTAATGACCACACAGTTTAATCAATACCTCTCTCTAAGACAGTTTCAACAAAACCTTTATGAACGGAGGATTTAGTGTGTTGCAGCACTGTTGTTTTAGACTCCATTAGTTTTAGTTTTGCAGTTGCAGTTGTACCTAATAAAATGGTAACTGAGTGTGTGAAACTAGGAGGAAAGGGAAGAATATAAATAAGGGAGAATCAAGAAACCAGGGTAAAAGCACACCAACAAGGCAAATCTGGTTTGCACATTTGAAAATGCTAACATTTTCCACTTTCCTTGGATCCTCTGGATGACTGTTCCATGAAGAAGGGCCACAGCTTCTGAATGCAGCCTCTTCTAGAGGCAAAAACCCTGAACCTAATCCCCCAAATAAAACACTGCAGATGAGGGTGGAGTGGAGACAGAGGAGACATGCAGTATGATTCAGTGCTAGTCAATAATATTCTATATAATGTAGTTCAGTATTTAGGAATATATACTATATGACACTGTACTACACTACACTACATCATACCATACCATATCACACCACACTATACTATACTATACTACACTACACCATACCATACTACACTACACTACACTGCACTACACTATACCATACTACACTGCACTACACTATACCATACTACACTGCACTACACTATACCATACTACACTGCACTACACTATACCATACTACACTGCACTACACTATACCATACTACACTGCACTACACTATACCATACTACACTGCACTACACTATACCATACTACACTGCACTACACTATACCATACTACACTGCACTACACTATACCATACTACACTGCACTACACTATACCATACTACACTGCACTACACTATACCATACTACACTGCACTACACTATACCATACTACACTGCACTACACTATACCATACTACACTGCACTACACTATACCATACTACACTGCACTACACTATACCATACTACACTGCACTACACTATACCATACTACACTGCACTACACTATACCATACTACACTGCACTACACTATACCATACTACACTGCACTACACTATACCATACTACACTGCACTACACTATACCATACTACACTGCACTACACTATACCATACTACACTGCACTACACTATACCATACTACACTGCACTACACTATACCATACCATACCACACTACACTACACTATACCATACCACACTACACTACACTATACCATACTACACTACACTACACCATACCATACTACACTACACTAGACTACACCATACCATACCATACTACACTACACTACACCATACCATACCACACTACACTACACTACACCATACCATACCATACCATACCATACAATACCACACTACACTACACTACACCATACCATACCATACCATACCACACTACACTACACTACACCATACCATACCATACCACACTACACTACGCTACACTGCACCATACCATACAATACCGTAATCTATTATACTACACTACACTCTACACCATACCATACCACACTACACTACACTACACCATACCATACCACACTACACTACACTACACTACGCTACACTGCACCATACCATACCATACCACACTACACTACACTACGCTACACTGCACCATACCATACAATACCGTAATCTATTATACTACACTACACTACACCATACCATACTATACCACACCATACTATGTTACACTACGGCATGCCACGTCACGCCACGCCACGCCACGCCACGCCACGCCACGCCACGCCACGCCACACTATACACACTATACTACTTTAAGTATACTGTAACCGTATGCTATACTAACTTGTACAGATATATCTCCAAGCCAACTTGTTCTCACACACATACATAGGTTTAATGTCCATATACACTCGTACAGTAAATTATGAATGTGGTGTCTGAACCTGACAGTAATTTCATCGGGGCTGCCTCTGATAGTAGAAATATTGTCACTGCACTCAGATGTGTGAGGTAAAAGCTCTTTGTAGAGAGATTATCTGTCATCCATGCCCCACATCTGTTTGTGTGTACACACACAGATGGCTGACATCATACTGAACACCTGGATATGACTTTGATTTCCTGCCAAATAGGTGAATCAGGAGGACAGCCACTATTATGGTTATCATGCTCTGATAAGAGTGTAAATTGGAATCTGACATATGTGCTCTCTCAGGAATTTAGGTGAAATAGCTGAAAGCAGATTGATGTATGTGTTTTATGGTACAGTGTCAGGTAGTACGGTGGCACTGCATAGCCTAGTATATCATGGTACAGTTCAGTACTTTATAGATGAATATATTACAAAATTATGTTTACTTTAGATTGTGTTGCTTTCGTTAAAAAATGTTTAAAGTAATAAAATAAATATGTATGTTGAAGCTGATGGCAATTAAATGTCATGATCTTATGACTTGACGTGATGCCTGCTTCAAGCTACAACCACTTCATATAAGTAACAATGAAACCAAGATAATTCAAAGATTGTTCATTATTAGAACCGCCACAGTGTAATGAGTGTACAGGCAACAAATTTAGTAGAGAATTAAAGTCTATAGCTTAGTGTATATAATGTAGTATCGTCATAGCAACATAGTAACAAAGAGAAAGTGGCATTTCTTCAGAAATAACTAGCTGAGATTTTCAGATAGATCACTAAACACATTTGTAATTATTAATAATAATAATTTAGCAGATTTTATTAAGCATCACTAGAGAGAAACCACAACCAACAATCAGTGATGAAGAGACAAAATCAAAGGTCAGAGCAAATGGACCTGGTATCAGTTGTAAGAACTTTGCTAAACTTGCACACAATCATGTTATCTTGAGTAATCTTGATCTTGAATAAAATTTCAGTCAAGTTAAATGGTTTCATTCACATCTTTTCATTCACGTTAGGAGCTGGCCCCTGAACCGGTATAGTAGGCTGTAAATCTAATTTATACTTTTGAGGACATTTGCAATTAAACTACAATGTATCGTATTGTCGATTAATTAAAACATGTTATTTACACATTCAGGTCATACATATACAATACACAAACCTATAAGCAGCAAAGTGATCAGAATGAACATTTCAGACTCATGTCTTTGTTGTTCTTTAACATTAAATATCAATCTGTTTGTTTGGAACATCTAATTCAGCAATCTCAGTTTCTATAAAATTCATAGTCATGGTGATTCTGAGGGTGATGTGTTGAATGAAAAGAGATCCAAACAACTTTTACTCACAGTCTGTACAGTACAGTATAGCGTGGATTGTGTTCTGCTGTATTACTACAGTATCTTTGGTGAAATGAGGCAAGTAACAGGCTGAATGTTCTCTGTAAAATCTGATGTTTGCACATAAAAACTGAGTGGGATTAACCATATGATGTTCTTCTTATCATTTATTTATTTCGCTCCATACTGCTGCATTCCAACCCCTTTGCTACTGAGACCAGATGAAACTGAAACAAAGACTTTGATTTCAACTTCTATTTTTGCAGTACATTACAGTATAGTGTAATTTAGGCAGCGTGCAAAGATACATTTTATACAATACTGTCATCCAATACAATAGTACTGCAGTAAATCATATTTCTGCTGTGA